TGTAAACCACGTTGACTTGCTTTCAAGTTCAAAAGATCATTATAAGTAACTGACATCCTTCCTACACAATTAATGGATTAACTAACATGAGGTACCAATAAAAGACAACATTGGTAGCTCAGGGATGAAAGTGATTCATACCATATCTTCCTCACTTGAGGGGCATAATAAAAGAACACCTGGACACTGAGACCCCTTGATTGCTTGAGGCTGGTTGTAACCCAAAACTGCTGGGCCCCAGCAATCTCTGAAGCTACTGTAGAAGCACATGCCCTTCATCTCCCCAATCCTAAGGAACTTCAGTCGCATGACTGCTTCAGTAAATTAAGAGAAGCTGTCCCAAGGCCAATTGCCCAGCCTAGAGGACTAGCTATTTTGTTGCTGAGACAGAAAGCAAAATGGCACTACCAGGATCTGAAAGTTAGTTTGCTTGGGAGTTTCCCATAGTGATAAGCAGAGAATTCTCAGTTGCTCTTCTAGGCAACAGGTTAGCATAAGAATCAAGAGGCAGATGTTGTGAGAGGTAGTTTTCCAATCCTTTGTTGTCTTTTGCCAGCAGTTGCTTTGTTCTTTCTCTCTATAATAGTAGGATCTACTCTTTTTTGACTGTCCCATTTCACTGATCAAACTGGAGTTGTGAATTTTAACACTTCTGATAAAGATATTCTCTGCTGCAAAACATTATAGACCAGTTCAAATAGCATGGGAATCACCAATCACATACTATATACTGGTTGAGCTATACTTCCCCACCCCCATCTCTCCCTCCCCCACCCGCCCTTCCTCCATCTGATGCATTTGTGATGAATGCCTAAGAATGATCAGATTGGGAGTTGAAGAAGCATACCTAAAATGTGTAATCGATTGCTGCCAGTAATCCATAATTGCTTAGTGATGGCACTGAAAACACTGAACCCTGCTATTGTCATCTTAACAGAATTTCCATTACCTTGTTTTCCTGCCCTGTTTGCAGTTTGTGCATTCACACAGATTAAAATGGGAGTTCCACATATATGCATGGATTATTTCTTATTTAAATCCATGAATAAGAGTCTGATTCTGAGATCATCACCCTGAAATATCATATTTCAAATGATATCTTCTTTGCTGCATTGAGTTGATAAATCACTAAACTACCCAAGTAGTTCTGCAACATATGGAACCAACTCTTTTCAATTTGAAAAAGATAAATTGTGGGAGCTATCAGCCCAAATGATAAATGATTCCTTTGCATGCTTCCCTAGCAAAGGCTGCATGATATGCCCAGTCAAATAGCAATAAATAATTGCTTATACGGATAAGAACATTTTATAACAGTAGGTTATGATTTATTTTAAAATGTAATCAAGTTACAAAGAATTTTAATTTTTTCGCAATAAGAAACTTAATTTCTCCCCATGTTAAAAATAAAATCAGTACTATGTAATTTCCTGGTACTGTCCAGATGTATTTGATTCTAGTTCTCATCATTTTTAGCATGGGTTGATGGAAATGTAGCCCAGGTTATCTAAAGGGTAATAGGCAGGAGAAAGGCTGACCTAAAAGATAAATGTGGAGATAAATTCTATGCAATGGCTTCCTTTATGCAATGGAATTTGATACCACCTGATGATATATGTGATTATGAAAGACTCCTGGGAAACTAAAAAAAAATGTAATATTTTTTTCCTAGTTAGGAACTTTTTCCTAACAGTCAATGAGAAACTGCCACACCATAATTTGAACCATTGTCCTGCATTTTGGAACCAAAGAAAGATCTTGATCATCTCATGTTTTTATATACTTGCACATAACTGAACTATGCTAAAATATCCCTTTTTTTCCTTAAGATTGGACTATCAATACCATTTTGTAGGATTCCTCCAATGTTCTCATTATCTTTCCTACATGTTTCCTCACCTGTTTTAATTTATTTGAAGTTGGTGTTCAGAATCTGAATCAGGAAACAAATAACAAACTGTTGTCAGCTCTTTGATTTTAATTTCTAGACTGTAGCTGCAAACTTTTAGATTATGAAGGAAAAATAACATGAAAAACAAAATGATATGCAAACCATCTCTCTCAGTATAAACAGCTTTATGCTCTTCACTTTCCTAAATTGTAAAAAGTTCAGAAGTTGTGGGTGTTCCATCATTGGAGACTTGTAAGAAGAGAATGGACAGTCGCTTGTCTGGAATTTGTTACCTGTTCCTAGTTCAGTAAATGCTGGGGTCAAGAAGGAAGGTACCATTCTCCTTCTGATTAAATTCAAATTACTGCAGTCTTCACTTTCATGAAGGGTACACTTTCTAAAAGTACAGGAGAAAAAAAAACAGTACAGGCAGTCCTCAAGCATGATGGTAATGGATCCCAGAATATCCCTTAAAGGCATAGCGGTTTTAAGACTCCCATGGGACTGGACCTTTTTGCAGTAATCATTAACTAAGCACCACTGTCATCAAGTGACTGTTAAGCAAATGCCACAATCATAAAATGAATCAATGTATTCTTATGGGAATTTTTCTGCTGGAAACCAGTAAAAAAAAGGTTGTAGATTGTAGTCACACGACCATAGAACTTTGCAATCAGCTGTAAGGGTCAGCTGGTTGCCAAGGACCTGAAATGCAGTCATGTGACTGCAGTGTGTGTGTACGCACCCACATTTACAGCCATCAGAACTCCAGAAACCGGTTATAAGAAGGAAATCTGTTGTTACTTAGAATGGTTGCTAACTGATTGGTGGTTAAGCAAGGACTACCTGTAAAGGATTTGGGGTATAAATCAATTAACTGATCAGTGATAGGTTGTCTGCAAGGTAAAGCACTGGGTAAAAGATGGAATCCCTTAGAAATGTTCCTCCAGGTAATGCAGAATGTCCTATGAGCACTTTTCAGTAGCTAGATGGAAATCCATAATCTTGTAGCCCATCAACTTCTCTCCAGGCTGTCAACATGGTAGGAGAAATGACACGAGTCATTTATTTGAACATTGTTTTGTTTCTTGTATTACTTCAGTTCAATTGCCTCTGAAATGGCAACAGTGTACACAGTACCTTTATCATACAACAACCCTGCTTTCTCTCACCAGTGTGAAGAAATTAAGGACGTCGACCTGTAGTGTTGTTGCTTATTGGCCAATATTTTCATACTTATCAGTTTCAATAATTCTTCTACTTCTTTCCTTGAAGAGAAATGTTTGATCAGCAGCTAATTACTGTGATGTGATTTATCCTATTCTGTAAGAGTCAATAAGTTGCACAATAATGACAGGATCCATCTCTCTGAGCTACCACATAAGGGAGAATCACCCATTGAACATCATGTCTCTCCATTCTTATTGCAATGTCCTGATTGGCTGTTGAAGGGGGAGGGTACAGCAGCAAAGCCAGGGGAGAAAGCCAATCACCTCAATCTCATCACTTGATAGTGAACTCAGAATAAATGCAGCCGAGACAAGAGGAAATTTGGCATAAGGGCAGCAGGTGGTATCCATTTTGGTTTTACACTGACCTGAAGATGGTTATCATTTAACCAAATGATGAAGAAAGGCCCTAGGCACTACAGTGAACTAAATTAATATTTGCATCCTGTTTATTCTCCAGAAAAGATAACTGAGGAGAATATGGTAAGCACTCTTTAAGCATATGAGGAAGTACAGAATACCTATTTTCTTTCTCTTACCCCAAGTTGTGTAACATGAAAAGTCCAACTGAATAGTTAAAATAGTTTTAAAAAATCTTCCCAGAATTAAGCCTTATTAGGTTTGAGAGAGAAATGGGTGCATGAAAACAATGACCAAAGAAGGCTATGATCACACTTTTCAAACATCTGAAGGGAATATCACATAGACCATCATTTCCCCCTCCCCCCACCCCTTTAAGACAATCTTGACTTATGGCAACGAACATGGATAAATCCATGGAGTTTTCCAGGCAACATTTTGGATTTGCTCAATGTCACCCAGGAAAACTCAGGTCCCCCAGTTTCTAAGCCAATATACGAACCTCTCTGGTTCTCTGATACTGGATTATTCTGAATGGCCAGAAAAGAAATGCTGGATTCTTGGATGTCTAGACATTTATTAGGTTTGGCTTTCTGCACTAAATTGGAGGCTGGATTTAACTGTCTAAAATAAGCTTTCCTACTTCTTGATTTTATGAATTTCATTCAGAAAATTTAACTGCAATCTTGATGTTATTTCCCATTTTTAATTTTCTCACCATTATGATATGTTTTGCCCCACCCCCAAACACACACTGCTATACGATTTTAAACACTTAAATTAGATTAGTGTGTCTGGAAGCACTACTTCCATACAGGAAATGAGGCATGGCGACTGAAAAATCAAAACCTTGCTCCGGTGCACAAACCAATGCCTTGTCCTTAAGCACCCCCCACCCCTCCTCCCGGCTGAAGACGAAGGAAGGACTGGCACGTAAGAACAATTTGGCAGGAGCCACATGAAATAATCTGTTGGCTGCGACCGAGCGCCACGTGTGGCTACCGCCAGGAGATCCGTCGAGCCCTTCTCAGATCAACAGGCCGGAAAACGTGCTTGGAGAGCCATCGGCGTCCGGTTAAAATCCGGGAGCACCAAATCCGTGTTCAAGGAGGTGAAGGGAAGGCAGTCCGTGATCACTCAATCCTCGGCTTTTAGCAACCTGATTCCCTTATTCGTCCGGCTAGACCAGCAGCGAGGCGAAACGTGAATGGGCGAGCGAGCCGAGAAGAGCCTGATTAGCCTGAAGGCGAGCTCAGCCTCCGGATCTGCATCTGCTCGGCCGGAATCCCCTCTGCTGTTTCGAAGAGGAACGGGCATCGGACCTGCTGCGGTTCCAGCCCGGAATTGCGCTCTCCAAGGCAGCTCGGCCTGGGCTTTCCCGCTTTTTGCCCAAGTTCCTTTATCTTGATGCACGAGCTTTCGATGCTGTCAATGTCGCCCCTTCTGTATCCATTTGGCCTGGCGGTGATAATCTGCAACATGGCCCAATTCAACGAACCCTCGACACCCAAAAACCACCGGCAGCAAGTGGCTGCACAGCGACCTCTGTCGGAGCAAGCAGGGAGACCGAACGACGCATTTAAGGGCAGAGGATGCGGCGAAGGCTACAAAGTCGGAGCTTGCGCCGCCAAAGGAGAATCTCGAGTCAGCTCGAGCGCTGTGCAGAAGATCTTCCCCTGGGAATGGCTCGCTTTCCGTCTCCATTGGTGATGCTCCATCGCCTCTACCTTGTGGACCTTCTCACCCTACCTTATCCACATCCTATCCTGTTGTCTCATTACCAGCTAGGCTACAGCAAGATTAAGAATTATGGAGATACTAGGCCTTCTTTCATGTATTTTTGATGCGTTGTGCCTCTTATTGATGCTCTCTGAATGTTTTAGGGCAAAACATTCAGAGAGCAATAGTATTGTCATTTAAGAATGGCAAATTAGGGAAGTCTTTTCTGCTTCATTACGGACTGTCCCATGACAAATATGGCACTGTACAACATTACATAGAAATAACATGGGACATTTCGTCATTAATCCCTTATGGTGTCTTCCTAGCATCACCCGACACTTGGCATTGCTTGTACCAATACAACAATAGAATAGGCATTATACTACCTCAGCAATAGCTACATGATTTGATAAGAATTTGTAAATTACCAAAAAGGAAAGTTCTGAGAAGTAAATTCCATTGAGATACAAAAGAAATGGATTCCCACGTAAGTGGGAATAGAATTGGCTCATTTGTGTCTCCACTGCTGACAAGACTTCATCTGGACCTGGAATCTAAGCAATAATGAGATTTACCATTTGGATGAGGAGTTTTTATTTATCAATCCTGGAAGAAGATAATGGCAAATCGCTTCCATATCATTTTCATGAAAACTAAAGTCACTGGAAGTTGAGATGTTCCAGGACCATTTTTATTTGTACTAAGAACAAAATTGTATTCAGGACTTAATGCAGAACTCTTGAGACAATTTTAATTCCTGGTTTGGTATGTTTCTTCCCCAAATAAACAGACGAGGATTTTCTGCTGCTTCTAATACAGCTCTTATTTCCTATGAATGAGATAATTATCTAAGAAATGTATTAATAGTTTCTTGGGTATGCTCTTTTGTGAACCTGGAATAAATAAAAAAGTATACGTGCACTCACAAATACTGTTTTTTACATAAGATATATAAGTTTCAGGTTTTTGAAACCATTGCTTATATTAAAAGAATGCAAAATAATAACAACAATATAGGGTCTGTATGTTTTATCTTCAGTATATTTTTCTCTCATGCTCCAATATGAGTGTGAAAGCAATAATGGAAAAAGTGCTTGTCCAATTCTGCATTTTCCATTTTATGGTAAATACTGGTAATTTCCTTACTGGGATGATTGAAGTTTTAATAACAACCTTGCCTGGCCCTTAATACTGTATATTATTGGTCCATGGAACCTCTTAATTCTCTTAATTCCTTTGGAACTTAGGTTGCATCATGTTTATTGTCTATGGCTGTAGTTGTTATATTAACTTCTCATTGCTTTCTCTAATACAGTATGACCCCTCAAGCAGAATTCCACCATGCAACAATCCATCATAGCTTCTGGCCAAGCTGTCTATAACCTTGAGCAGGACAGTCTTGATAAAAAAGCTTCTAGATGAGATTTTTACTGGTTTGCTTCATTCAAGGAACTTAAGAGACATGAGTTTTGTGTTCCACTTGTGATTCTCTGGGTTTTCTCAATACTTATATTTTTGTTTCTTTTCTCAAGAAAATCTAAGGAGAAAAAAATTATCTGTAAAATGGTTTTGATCATAGCATTAAAAGCTACTAATTGCTTGGCTGCACTCTTTACTCTCTTATTTGGTAGCACAATAGTTAAATGGTATGACAATGTATAGGCCCTTTTGCACACTGCATGAAGAGGAAGAAAAGAGAGACAGAATCAGAGGTGGTATTCAGCAGGTCCTGACCAGTTCTGGAGAACCGGTAGCATAAATTTTGAGTAGTTCAGAGAACCAGCAAATATCACCTCTGACTGGAAATTTTCCAGTATCCTTCCCCTGCCATGCCCACCAAGCCACACTCACAGAACTGGTAGTAAAAAAATTTGAATCCCACCACTGGACAGAATGTATCAGGTGAATAGAAAATGACTTTTTGCCTTCCCAACCCCACCATTTCTTTCACCGTAATATCCTGTCCATAAGTGACACTAAGCAGAGATAAGACTGGCTAGTATCCTAGAGCTTTAGGTAAGATCAAACGAGTTCTATTAAGTACCTTTTCTCAAAATTGTAATTAAATTCTAACATTGATAATATGTCCAAGGTGGGATAATCAACTACATCATAATCAAGATGTTATTGAGAATATTGCTGAATGGGGGCCTACAGGATACATGGCACATCATGACACGAACCCTTGAAAACAATGAAACGCAACTGTCAAGAAGTATTGCTGAACATTTTTTAATGACTGCCATTAGTTTTGTGGAAGGTCCTCTCCTTAAATCTAATGGGAGATTTCTGCAGAGTCATCATCATCACAGATAGTGTAACAAGGATATATTTTGAGTTTTATGTTAAACAATTCAGACTAGATATCCTTACAAAAGATAAAAGGAAAGGGTCACAATTTCTGTCACCCCAGATGTTTGCACAAGACAGCACGGGACAGACAGGGATGCTGCAAATTGATACCTATAATCATATTTCCCTTATTGTTCACTTAAATTACAAGGATTATATCTTTTCTAACATTCCAATACACGGATACAGTTTTGGGGGACCTACTGACTTTTTCAAAATACTAATACAAAATAGAAACCTGGGGAATGGCCTGTTACAAGTGTATGCCTTGACTAGATCCTTGGAACAATTTGTATTAGCTCTACTTGGATTAGGGTGATGCAGTGACTCAGTAGTTAAAATGCTGAGTTTGTTGGCTGGAAAGCCAGCAGCCCAAGTTCAAGACCTGAGCACCACGCTCCCGAAAGCTACTGCTAACTTAACAATTTGAAAATATGCAAATGCAAGATTACATAGGTACCACTTCAGTGGGAAGGTAACAGCATTCCATGATGTCATGCTGGCCACATGACCATGGAAATGTGTTTGCACAGGGCTGCTGCTGGCTCAGTGGCCTTGAAACAGATAAGAGCATCTCCCCTTAGTAATGTTCAACAGAGTAAATCCACAGGGACTCTTTTACCCCTTTTTTTTGGCCTACTTGAACTTATTTTCCAAAGCACCAGAAGGCAGGACAAGAAGAAAAAGATGGAAACTAATCAAGGAGAGAAGCAACCTAGAACTAAGGAGAAATTTCCTGATAGAACAATTAATCAGTGGAACAACTTACCTCCAGAAGTTATGAATGCTACAACACTGGAAGTTTTTAAGAAAAGATTGGAAAACCATTTGTCTGAAATGGTATAGGGTTTCCTGCCTGAGAAGGGGGTTGGACTAGAAGACCTCCAAGGCTCCTTCCAACTCTGTTATTCTGTTATTAAAATCATATTATTTTGTTGATCTAAAATTACTTGAAGTTTTGTTGAAGAAAATATGATTTTAACAAAGGGCAGTCCAATTCATTAATCATTTAAAATGCAGTATATCCTGCCTAGCTCACTCACAATTGCTCTAAATTGAGTTCAGAGGGAATATTTTATTGCATAAACCACAATTGAGTTGATCTGCAAACACAGTAGATCATGTTTTATGAATCATGGTACCTGGATTCCCATAGCTTGGGAAGTCAAATCAATCAATCAAGCTACTGTTATAGTTCAGCATAATGGATGAACTGAATTATTATATAGTTAATTGTGCTTTGAAAATAAATGCATTATAAATAATTTGTGTTCCTGTCCAAAAATAGTTTTCCAGAGCGAAACTGATATCATTAGCATTCATACTTGCTACATTATTATTTTAGCTATTTAGATTTTTAGGTGTCTGCAAAACTTGGTCAGTCTTAGGTTTCAATAGATTAAAAGCAAAATACACACATATCATTTCCATTTCATACCAGCATTGACTATTAGTTCTACAGAGATATTAACATATTGGATAAGCTAACAAGACTTCTGGGAGGTTCTTTAAACTTTATGTTTCAGTTTAATGGCCTTTTTAAAGATGCTGTGCTATGGCCATTTTCTGACCGCTACTCAGAACTCTGAATAATTTACAATGGGACTTTTTATAGACTGTACTGACTGACTTCTATTTTTAATCATTTATGCATAATAACAGCCTCATTTTACATGTGGAATGGCTTCCTCAATGGGGATCCACCTGTATTTATTAATAGTACTTCTACTACTTGCCAATTCTGTTTTTGGCAGTTTTACGAACTTAGAAATAATCCATTGAACAGTTTGAACAATCCTCAAACAGTTACTTGCAACCTACATACCATATCTACATATTTTTGTTGTATTGAGTTAATCAGCTAAGGACAAACAACATATACATAATATTTAGATGGAGGATTTAGATGTTGAAAAAAGGATGAAAATATTCTTTCCCCAGAGGTGAGGCCCCCATTCACCTGGCCTTGTGAAAAGGGATTAAACATGGTTCTGCAGTGTTACAAAGGAGTGTGCAGCATCCAAGAAGTTTCTTCAGTTCTAAAATTCAGAACTGAAGAAGCTTCTTGAAAGAGAAGCGAAACGTCTTCAAGGAAAAACAATGTCCAGTTCCAAAGTATCTTTGGGACAATCATGATCTAGATCAGGGGTCCCCAACCACTGGTCCCCGGACCGGTACCGGTCCGTGGATCATTTTTTACCGGGCCACAAAGCTTGGGCGCCGCCATCTTGTTTCAACAGCGCTTCCGGGTTTTCGGTTGCTTCCGGGTTTTTGGTTGGAAAGTGCTTCCAGTTTTTCAGTTGGAAAGCGGCGTTTGGGTGCTCGCGCCTTAGTTTCGTCGAAGGGGGGAGCGGCTTCAAATGAAGAGCCGTCCCGATGGCGGTGGAGTCTCACAGTACTCAGGTACCGGTCCGTGGAAGAATAAATAATCATGAAACCGGTCCCTGGTTCGAAAAAGGTTGGGGGCCACTGATCTAGATGACTGAGAATCTGCATAGATCCTCCCTTTGCCTTTGTCAACAAATTTTTAGCAGGATTCATTATTCTTTCCTCTTTATTTTTTTTCTTGAAAAACAAGATACATCGGATTCACACCTTGAGTTAAAATTGCACATCACAATGGGGAGAAAATGTCATAATACAAGTTACATATAAATTTTATTAGTTCCCAGTAGAGCTAATGCCATTGGCAGTTTATCCAGATGGAAGGTAGACATTAATAAATATATTATCTCTTTTCTTCATCCAAATAAAAATAGCTCTGGTATAAGGGGTCAGATCAAGCATTGACTTTAACAAGAAACATCAGTCAATGTCTTTATTGAATAATGACCTTAAGTTGTCATTATAGTCATTATTATTGGCTGAGAGGTTAAAAATAATTTTGTGATAATTTATTCATGAGGACCAATATGGGGTTTTACTTAAAAGACAGTTTAAAAGGATGGCATAAGAAATGTGTTGGACATTTTGGAATAGTTGAAGCTACATAATGAAAATCAAGCAACAGTGACTTTCTTAGACAAAGAGAAGGATTTTGACAATATGAACTGGGTCCTTTCTGTTTAAGCTTTTGGAAGATATGAATTTTGGAGATAATTTTATTAAATAGGTTAAAATCAACCTATATTTTACAAGCACTAATAATTGTCAATGGTGTTCTAAGAAAAGCTTGTGAGATACAAAAAAGGGACACAATAGGGATGCCGGTTGTTTCCTCTCTGTTTTAGTTCTTGAAATATTGAATATAAGACAAGATCAGAGAATTGTAGAAGTAAAGTTTTAAAATGAAATTTTTAAGTTTATAACATTTGCTGATGAGTTGGTGTTGATTTTGAGGATCCTCTAAAGGGAATAAATACATTAATGGGAAATTAAAAGTATTGGGTGCATTAGTACGTTTCAGGATTAATAATCAGATGATTTTGACAAAAAAATTAAAATAGAGCAACTTTTGGGGAGAATATCTGTGATGTAAATGAATGTTTTTCCTAGAACAATGCTTCTGTTTTAAACAATACTCATTTTGAAAACAGATGCAGCATTTAAGCAGTGGCAAAGGGATATGTGTAGTTTGTATGGCAAAGGAAAAAAAAAACCACAACAATATAAGATGGCACAAGATGCATAGGAAAGATAAAAATTGGGTTTATCTTATTTGGGATTGTATTTTGCAGCTTGCTGTTTGTTTAGATGAAAGAGTGGATGAGAAATAGAAAATGTTTAGAATTAGAAGAACATGATTTAGGATTTGTGTGGCAGGGATATTTGTAGTACAATAAAGTTAAGGTTAATATAATTTTAAAACTCATTATGTTAAATGTGCCATATTAAGAATATAGAATAAATACAAACCTTGGATCACCTGAACAAATCTTTGTTGCTCTCAGCACAAGATGCATTTTATAGATGAAAAATAATAGACAAACACAAATGATTAACACACTGTAAAATACTGGAATTCTGTGAATACAAAATAGAATCAGGAAAACAACTGATGGACATAAGACATAATTATCAATGGTTTTCCTATTTATAGTTATTAGAAAGATTTGAAATAATGTATTTACACAATGTTATAATCTTAAAGTCAAATTTTATGAAATGATGTACCATTGGTGTATGGACAGCAGAAAAAAATGTCAAGAATGTATAAAGTTACTTCATATTTGTGTTGGAAATGTGAACAAGAAAGATTATTTTATCATGCAAACCAGCTAGATTATTTTAGGTTCAAATGCAGACACTGATTTAAATAATTTCGAAGATTCAAAACCAGAACTTTTCCTATTGCAACTAATGGATAAACAGTTCTAAAACCTCATGGAACTTTATTTACTTTATTTTATATGATAACTGCAGCATGATGACTACAAGCAGAATTGTGCATGTGGGGGGAGGGGGGGGGGGGGATTGACAATATCTACAAGTGGAGGAATGTTTGGTGAGATGATAGAACTTGCTGAGATAGCCCAACTGACCTGTTTGATTCTAGACAAAAGCTTATCCTGTCTGGAAACCCCTGATGGACGTTTTACACAAAGACTTTTTTTAAAATGGACATAAAATCTATGGTTCGGACAATTAGATCCGGATAGATTATCAAAAGAGAGTCATGATGGAGCTTTAGAAAAAGAGATAAAGCATTATAAAGACCACTTCATTATATCTTTTTTTTGTTTTTCTTCTACCTCTTTCCTTTTCTTTTTTTCTGCATTCTAGCTTTCTCTTTTATTCCTTTTATTTTTTTCTTCTTACTTTTAGTATGTATTTATTTTTATTCTTGCTTCTAAAGCTATATGTATTGTGTTTGTCTATGAGTCAGGCTTTTCACAGCCTCACTCACAGACGAACACAATACAGAAGCCTGATGATGGCAGATGAGATTCTGCCGAAATGTCGCTACAACTTTAAAAGCACAACTATAATGACGTGGGAAAATACCTGAACAAAGCAGAATACCATATATATAAATACCCGTGAAAACTTAAATATATATATGTATGTATGTATGTATGTATGTATGTATGTATCTTTGGTTATTCGGGTTTTCCCCCGCGTAAGATTGGAAGTATCTAGGCAACGTTTCGATGAAGTCCCATTCATCATCTTCAGGCTTGTGTCTTCAGCTCTGTGCTTCTCAGAGTGATGTGAGCTTGCAGCTGCTTCTTCCTTTTAACTGCTAGTGGGGGTGTGACTTGATTGGGTGGGGGCTTGGCTGTGTTCTGATTGGTTGGGGGGCTGGCTGTGTTCTGATAGGCTGGAGTTGTGTTCTGTTCAGGTGGGGGCTTGTATGGCAAAGGAAAAAAGGTGGCAGGTAGATAGGTGGCAGCCTATCAGAACACGGCCAGCCCCCCAACCAATCAGAACACAGCCAAACCCCCAACCAATGAGAACACACCCCCACCCAATCACAACACAGCCAAGCCCCCACCCAATCAAGTCACACCCCCACTAGCAGTTAAAAGGAAGAAGCAGCTGCAAGCTCACATCACTCTGAGAAGCACAGAGCTGAAGACACAAGCCTGAAGATGATGAATGAGACTTCATCAAAACGTTGCCTAGATACTTCCAATCTTACGCGGGAGAAAACCCGAATAACCAAAGATCCACATACAAATACCCGCGAGAACCTCAGAATATATATATGGAGGCCTCCAATAAAGTAACACAATGTTGCCAGCCAATCAAGATACAAAAAGAGCCAAAAAAAACAGACAGAAGATATTAGAAGCAGAACACAGCAAACTCCAAGACCAATAAACACAAACCAAGACTCTCAACCAATCAGGATGAAGAAAAAACCATTCTGGCACAGCAATAGGCTGCCCCAAATTTAAATCTGAAACCACTGTAAAAGTCTAACTCACAGACGAACACTATACAAAAGCCTGATGATGGCAGATGAGATTCTGCTGAAACGTTGCTACAACTTTAAAAGCACCACTACTATGACGTGGGAAAATACCCGAACAAAGCTGAATGCCATACATGTAAGTACCCGCAAAAACTTAAGAAAACAAATATATATATATATACACACACACACACACACACACACACACACACACACACAGAGAGAGAGAGAGAGAGAGAGAGAGAGAGAGAGAGAGGTGATTAGATAGACAGATAGATAGATAGATAGATAGATAGATAGATAGATAGATAGATAAATAGATAGATAGATAGATAGATAGATAGATAGATAGATAGATAGATAGATAGATAGATAGATAGATAGATAGATAGATATAGATGTATAGTTATAGATATAGATATATATGAACAACAAAGTATGTTACAGTAGTTGATCTGGGAAGGGACTAGGACATTAGAGTAACTGTGAGGGGAGCTTCTAGTCAAAAATGGGAGAACTGATATATAACACAAAGCTGTGCAAACATCCTCCTAGCCATAGAGCCTGCTCTTTGAGCAGGAATCATGAGTCTAAAAGGATCCCCAAATTGTGCACTGGGTCTGTTTGGGTCAATGCAATCCATCCGTTACCAAAGAGGATACAGTCCCAAGACTAACAGGTCTGAAAATATACATCCACTAAATCTTGCCAGAGATCAGTTGAAGCCTGTTATTGACTATCCAACCTCCACAGCTTCCAGACAAGAATCCAGAGCATCTCTTAAGCTGCCAGGGACAGAAATGTATAATTGAGTACATTGATGATAGCCCACCCCATGGCAATGAACTCATCTAGTGACTTCATGTAAATGTTGAATAGAAGAGTACCAAACCCTAAGGTACCCCACAGAGTAGGGGGCACTCCACAGAGTAGGGGCTGAGGGCACAGTCTCTCCTCCCTAATTAGCATTGGCTGGTACTAATTCTAGAGAAAGGAGGAAAACCAGCACAAAACAATGCAGTTTACCCTCTAGAAACAATGTAGAAGGATACCATGGTATTTAGGACTTTTAAAGCTCAAAAGCCAACTCACTTAAGTTGTGCCATCCAGATGCATTTGAGTGTCAAACTCCAGAATTCCCAGCAACAAAGCCTGACCAATGGTCATGCTAGCTAGGACTGTAGTATTGGTTGCAACAGTTAAAATGCTTTTATTGAGCTCTGAAGCATTTTGCAAGCATTCCACAGCCGAAGTGGGGAGATGGGCCAACAGAAGAGACTGAGCACTTGTTGCACTGGTACTAATGGTATCAGATTTTCCACACTGTATGAGAAAGTCTGTTTCACACTTATATTTTTGCCTTTTTAGCAGCACCCAGAGGGATTTCTACGATAAATTGCCGCCATTACTTTAAAAAAAACCCCACCAGAGTGCACTTTGATGTGTGTTGTTTATCCCAATTGTTGCCTTCCTTGTTTTTAGACAGCTTCCGGCTTTCCTCTCTGAGGAAATGAGATCATAAGGATGCTCTCAGATTTTAAGGGAGTGGTGTTGGTGGGGGCCCTGGTCGCTGTCTGCCTGCTCAACCACTGGGAATCCGCACGTCACAGGGCAGCTCCTGGCTGGAAAACAGCATTCAGGTGGCGCCAGCAGCGAGAGAAAAGGGAGTCACCATCGAATCAAAGGCATCCAGCAGGGCTGCGCCGTCGCCAGCAGCAGCGGGCGAGGCGAAGCACGCACCGCTGCGGCCGGCTGCTCCTGCCAAGAAGCGACCGAGCTAACCCAGAAACGAACGGAGGAAAAGCCAGCAAGCAAACAAAAGGACTAAGCGCCCTTGCCCGCCGCTGCCCCCACCCGCCCACCCCGCAGAGTAAAAGCTCGAGGTGTGAAGAAAAAGATCCCTTGAAATAAAGCGATGATATTATGGCCCAGGAGGAGCAGCAAAGCGGCGACCAGACTAACAACGATCTCCAGGGAGGGACCCAGCGGGTTCAGGATGGCGAGAAGGAAGAGCCGGCGGAGGGGAAGACGCCCGCAAGCAAGCCGGAGGCTCCTCTCACTTCCGAGGAGTACGAGTGCCGGATCTGCTACAACCTCTTCGACCTGGAGCGCCACGCACCCAAACTGCTGGAGTGCCTGCACACTTTCTGCCGGGAATGCCTCAGCGAGCTGTACCAGCGCGGAGACCACTCGCCCCACTGCCGGAGCGAGGCAAGCAGCAACATTAGCGGCTACGGCGCTCCTGAAGTAACCGATGGCGGTCGCTCCGCCGGCCCTTGCATCACGTGCCCCGTGTGCCGGCACTGCACGGCTCTGCCCG